ACAACATGGTTGTTAAAGCGGAGTTCCACTTGACCTATCAAATAAAATTCAGCAGCTACAAAAACTGTAGCTGCTGACTTTTAAAAAACAGCCACTTACCTGTCCCTTGGTCCCGTGGTGTGTCCCCCGCAGCTCATTTCACCGGCCGTCCTGTATTCCAGGAGGCCGGCATGTTCAGTGTGGGCACCCGGCTGTGACAGCTTGCGGCTTCACAGCCGGGTACCCACTGCGCATGTGCGAGTAGCGCTGCGCATCATGAATGGCCCTGTAGTCTTCTGGGACCTGTCACGTGTCCCAAAAGACTACAGGGAGGGAGGACACCTACCTGCTCCCCAAAGGTGCCAATCCTTAATGGGGAGCGGGGGAGCAGTCCTTAAAGAGGAACTTCCCCTTTTAGGTGGAGCTTCGCTTTAAGGAGCTGGCAGCCGCCGTATCCTTAATACCCTTAATAACCGATGAGTCATCAATTAAAAACATTTAAAAAAAAAAAAACAGCATGGGGAGAAAGTGCCCCCCCCCCCTCCTGAACCATACCAGGCTGCATGCCGTCAACATGGGGAGGGTGCTTTTGGGCAAGGGTGCTCAGCATCGGTGTGACGTCTCTGGGTAACCCCCGTGGCATTCTGGGTCAATGACACCACATGGGGCGGTGTCACCCTGTGATGTCCGAGGGTGGCTCTGCCCCTTGGCTTATTTAAGCACTGTCAGAGGGTGACAGCTTTTGTTGGGAATTGAACTCCACCAAAGGAGATCTTCTACTACAAATATCCTGGAGTCGGTGAGTAGACATTAACCCTTTGTGACATATTGACTGGCTCTTGATAAAAACCATTGCAAAGTCATACTGCACCATCCCTCTTAAAGGCACCCCTTATCATTCATAAACTTTCTGTCCCCCTATCATCTACAAACTTTCTGCAACAATCCTGCTCAGAACTGTGCCCCTGAACATCTGAGAGATAGCTACTTTTATATCCTTGATAATAAACCCCTTGCTGGACACTTCCCCACTCAGTACTCTCAGGAAATCAGTGTTTTGCAACCATTTCCTTGTTTCAGAAATTATTCCCACTAGTACACAACATTGGCAGTTACCTTGCAGTTATTGCATTATAGTCTAGGCCTAGCTTCCTCACCATAAGTCCTATTAATGCCAAATTCACCATTGCCTTATTTTGCTCATTTCCAATGGGGAAAATTAGTTTATGCAGCCTTATCAGGACCTAAGGAGGCAATCCTACTAAATAGGCTGATATTTAAAATTGTATATGTCAACATATGTTTCCACTTTGTGATCTTCTGTCATTTTTGAGTACTCATATGTTATACAGGATTACAAATCTTATCAACTTACCCATCAAAGGTGAAACTATGGGATAATGTATGGTTGGTTTAGGTTGTGGAGCCTCAGGGTTGCTGGAGTTCTTTAGTACCCACGGAAATTGCTGTATTGTATCAAGCCCTGACTCAACACAATAACCATGTGAAATGTTTATACCTTTTGTTTCAGGGTACAAGGCTACTGATAAAGGTCTTGTTGGAGCTGTTGACGGTTTTAGTGAAACATCAGGGTACAACGCTATTGATAAAGGTCTTGATGATGAACGAAATAAAGGTTTTGATGAAGCATCAGAAGGTGGGAGTATTGATAAATATCTTTGTAGAACTGTTGAAGGTTTTGGTGAAACATCAGAGGGTTGGGATATTGATAAACCTCTTTGTGGAGCTGTTAAAGACTTTGGTGGAAAAGTCTGTTGGACACCCAAGGGTGTAACCTGTGGTTTTCTGGACTCAAAGCATTGTTTAAGTAATTGAACTGATGGCCCTTGCCCAGTGTGAAATATTTCTTGTTTCCTCTCAGAAGCAGGTAAACCATTGGAGAGATTGAACATGATTCTCTTTTAGAGTGCTGGACGATGCTTTAGTGATGAGGTCTTGATCCTTCTTGCGGTGTTTTGTCACTCCTCCTATAACTGCAACATTGCTTTTAGGAAACAAGGAAAGTCAGCAAATGGTATGAAATTCTTATTTTTACTTTCTCTTTTTCTCTCTCTCGGTTTCTCTCTATGTCTAAGTTTAAAAACTGTTGATTGAGTGAGTCAGGTGGGTAAATAGGTTTTAAATATATACACGTCCCTTCATTCAACATAAAATCCTCACAGGTCCCAATTGAAGCTGAATTAAATAAACCCAGTTCATTAAAGCGGTATTAAATCCAAAAGAAAACATTTATTATACTGCAGCTTTCCATTTCTTAGATGTGATGGCTGCATTAGTTTCTTTTTTAGACTTTCTTTCCCTTATTTTCACTTCCGGTGAGTAAGTCTGTTGTTTTTCAAAAGAACAAGCTCTCTTGCAGATATTGCAGTTACAGGGATGATCCAAACCATTTGCCACTGACAGGGATGCTTACAATGATCAGCTTTTATTTATTTTGTCATGCAAAACCTTTATACCAAAAGGAAAAAAAAACGTTTGCTGTAACTGCCTATAACGTATTAGCTTGAGTTTGGCTTCAATTTATTTGCTTATCTAAATTTGCTAGTACATCTAACCCCCTCCCCCCCTTCCCAGAATAACAATGCTGCTGTCCAAAGGTGTGTCTGTTGCTCCTTCGTTCAGAGTGGGAGCACCACCTAAAGAGGAGGTGTATTACTGGCTAGATCACCAGGTGAGAACAGAGGGAAAAAGCTTAAAGAAAACTAATGCAGCCACCACATCTATTGACTGATAAGCTGCAACATATTAAACTTTTGGTTTTCATATCGCTTTAAGCTGGGTGTGATTTTGCTTCAACAGGGAGGAAAAACATTCCTGGCATCTAAAGATAATCAAATGGTCTATCTTTTTATCCCCACGCCCACCGACCTCTTTCATTTACACCCATTTTTGAAATCTTCCTTTGCTATCAGAAACAGTTTCTGTAGAGGACTATTCTGTTTTTTCTCAGCTCGAACACTGAAGAACCATTTACTCAACTGGAGATTAAACCTCAGCAACGCATGCTCACCTTGCTTTCGCTGCTCCATGCAGTTACTGTGAGCAGAAAAAATATGCGGTATATCCTACAATGGGGAGCATGTAACTTAATGCTTGACAACTCATAGTGATGTTCACCATTTTATTTCATCATTTCTACACAGAATGTAATAAAACTCTCTACAATGCCAATAAAATGTGCAATCAAACAAATTGCTAGGCTGTTTCAATAATTGATTTAAGTTCTCTATAAATTAAAATTAGTTTATTCAAATTTCTTGCCTAGCACAAGACACCTTTACTATTCAGGTGCAACTGCCTTTATTATGTGGATTTTAGGCTGTGAAAAGTCAGTGCAATTTTCTCCGAACCCAAACACTGCTCCCTTGCATCAAAACTTTACTCTCGTATTTATCTCTGTAAGTTCTTGCTGTCTTTTTTTTTCTGTTGTTGAACACAACAGAGGCAGTGTTCCAGATAATACAACCCTTGGCACTGCTGCCTAGGTTTCTAATCTGATACAAAAAGATCCTCTAAATCCCATGCCTTTTGTGACTAATGCCAAAAAGGACCAAGACAGCTAGGTAATGCCCAGCTCTACCCAGTGATTTGTCTATCCATGCCAAAAAACACTGGTACAAGGAGACAGCAAATATTTCAGTTGAAGCATCCCTTTGTGATGAAAAAAAATTAATTTTTTTTTACCATATTACCACCATTCACAATCTTCTTGTCTTATAAAACCCATCACCACTATGAATCACTTTAAGGAGAGAGCAGTGACACCTGTATACTACCCTTATAACTTCCCTCAGTTTGGCAAATTTGGATGTTCAGGTCTATTACCGCCAACTAAATTGGCATTCCAAACTTTCTACTCCTCTTATCTAAGATTTGCCGACTCCCTTTCTCATTATTCTAGGAATTCCTCCACTGTCTACACCACTAAATGTCTTGGGGAGCTAAGCAGGACTCCATTCAGGATAGTCAGTTTTGCATTTTGCTCTCGTGCCAGAAAGGTACCTTCAACTTTTCATATTCTTTATTCAGTATCCTTTATGAAATTGCTGTATCAGATATGACATAGCATGCCCTGAGCACAATCTGCAATATTCCTGATGCTAATTATCCCAGATTTACCATGCAGTTTACTTACAACTGTTCGACCCCTGTTGTCTTCGACTCTTCAGAAGTCTTCTAGTCAAGCAAGTTCTAGAATAAGGAAGTTTGAAGTGTGTCCCGAACTCACTTTAATGAGGCTGAGAAAGTATAACACACCCTGTTTATCAGGTGTGCTAAGGAAAGTGAAAGGAAAAAAGTCATTACATGAGTTAAAGGATAAGTTCACTGTCATGTGTGCCCGCTGTTCGCTTCCCCCTCGCCGCATCCTCTCATCCTCGCTGGGAGGTCTCCGCGCGCACCCCCCGGTGGGCGCAGCGTGGGCATGGCTTCTCGCGCTCTGCGTCCACCAGTGACAAAGGCCGCGCCAAGGCCGAGTCAAGGGGGCGTGCCGCGTCCTGCGTGGCTTAACGGCCGCTTTCTTCTGCTTGTGCTGTCCGCCGCTGCTGGACTTGCATGCCGCTGGGCCGCTGATTACTCTGCAGGAGACCCCCCCCCCCCCAAAAAGGTCAGAACCATGCGGAGTGCCCTGGACTGCCCCTATTGTGTGCCCAGACCACCCTTGTCATGAACTGCCCCTATTGTGCGCTCAGACCACCCTTGTCATGAACAGCCCCTATTGTGCGCTCAGACCACCCTTGTCATGAACTGCCCCTGTTGTGCACTCAGATCACCCTTGTCATGAACTGCCCCTATTGTGTGCTCAGACTACCCTTGTTTGAACTGCCCCATGGCATGCCCGGAGTATAGCTACCTGGACTGCCCCCCTGAGTGCTTGAGCCATCGCTACCCGCTGAGTCCCCGTGAGGCTGATGTTGTCCCTAGAAAGCTGTATGGGAGCTGTGCTGAGGCCAGGCCCCACAGCCAAGGTCCGCTGAGTACCCATGAGGCTGATGTTGTCGCTAGAACACTGTGTGGGAGCTGTGCTGAGGCCAGGCCCCAAAGCCAAGGTCCCGCTGAATCCCCATGAGGCTGATGTTGTCCCTAGAAAGCTGTGTGGGAGCTGTGCTGAGGTCAGGCCCCACAGCCAAGGTCCCACTGAGTCCCCGTGAGGCTGATGTTGTCCCTAGAAAGCTGTGTGGGAGCTGTGCTGAGGTCAGGCCCCGCTGAGTCCCCGTGAGCATGTTGTTGTCCCTAGAAAGCTGTGTGGGAGCTGTGCTGAGGTCAGGCCCTGCTGAGTCCCCGTGAGCATGTTGTTCTCCCTAGAAAGCTGGGAGCTGCTCTGAGGTCAGGCCCCACAGCCAAGGTCCCGCTGAGCCCAGTGAGCCTGCTGTTGTCCCTAGAGAACTGTGTGGGAGCGGTGCTGAGGTCAGACCCCCAGCCAAAGTCCCACTGAGCCCCTGTGAGCCCGCTTACCGTGAGTGTCCCTACAAGCCGTATGTTGCGGAGTGCCATGAACTGTCCTGATTGAGTGCCTTTCATACTTCAATAAAGCTTTGTGTGTTTACTATCTTCTTTGTGCGTTCTGTCCTGCCTACGCTTCCGTCACATTCACCTTTTAACAAAAAATAAATGCATTGCTGGTGCCATGCAAGTCTCCCCCTGATCTATCAATATATCTGCTTGCTCATACATTCTGTATGGGCAAGCAAATACTTACTGACAGGGAGGCTTAATGAACTACCACAGTGCTTTGAAGCGCCGTGGTAGTTCATTGAAGACTACAAGCCAACAGCTGCAAAGGCTACTGGAGCTTGTAGTTTTCCCAATCGCACAATACTGTGAATGTGTGGCGCTTTTTAACCACTAGCCTACAGGGCACTTATACCCCCTTCCTGCCCAGGCCAATTTCCAGCTCTCAGCACTGTCACACTTTGAGTGACAATTGCGCAGTCATGCAACACTGTACCCATATGAAATTTTTATCTTTTTTTTTGCGACAGAGGTTTATTGTGGTGGTATTTAATCTCCTCTGGGTTTTTTATTTTTTCTTAAACAAACCAAACACCACTGATAATTTTGAAAAAAAAAAACTTTTTTTCTTAGTTTTTGTTATAAAATTTTTGTAAATAAGTGATTTTTCTCCTTCACTGATGTGCGCTAATGAGGCTGCAGTGATGGGCACTGATAGGCTGCACTGATGGACACTGATAGGTGGCACTGATGGGCATTGACAGGCATCACTGATGGACACTGAAAGGCAGCACTGATATATGGCACTGATAGGCACTGATGCACACTGATTGGCAGAACTGATAAGTGGCTCTGATTGGCACTGATGGGTGACACTGAAAGGCAGCTCAGATGGGCACTGATATGTGGCATTGATGTGCACTGGTAGGCACTGATGGGCACTGGCACGTGGCACTGTTCAGCACTGACAGCTGGCACTGATGGACACTGACAGGTGGCACTTCTAGGGCCACACTGATCATCAGGGCCCACTGATAATCAGTGCCCTGATGATCAGTGTACATGTCCCCTCCGCGGAATGCCGATTACCGGCTCTCCTCTCGAGCTGTCAGCGTGACAGCTTGTGAGGAGAGAAATGCCAATAACCGGCATTACCCTGTTTACATGTGATCAGCTGTGATTGGACACAGCTGATCACATGACCAAGCTGACATCTTCGGCTTTTTTCCGTGGATCGGTGATCCAATGTGTCCGAGAGACACAGCGCACCTCCGATCGCCGCGCTGCGCACTCCCTGAGCCACGCATGCGCGGTGAGAATGGGAGGACGTCATATGACATCCTCCCAGAATGAGAGAACCACCTTGCGCCCGTCATTTGACTATATGGCGGGCGGGAGGTAGTTAAAGATTGCGACAGTGGGGAGGAGAGGATCCAGTCTGATCATACCTTGTTACGTGTTACACCTGAATGTGAGTATAACATGTTATGAAAGGTAAACTTATCCTTTAACTTTGAGTTAACTTTAAATGAGTTTTATGCACAAAACATGTTTTATAGTGTTGGAAAGAACAGGGAATATCTGTGTTTATTGCTGTGTTTGTCCGCATCAAGGAGATTTACCTTCACTTTCTATATTAGTCACTAAGGATGAGCAGTATGCTTTATTTTTGTAATCCAAAATATTGCTCCTATCAAATCTAATTTTGAGCAAATACATTTTTGAGTGGCTAGGTGGTTTTTCATGTTTGAACAGAATGCATGGAAGCAGATGAAATTTGATTTAAAAAAATATAATCTGTGTAGCTTCCCATCTTAAACAGGGGCTACCAGTAAATTTATCTGTGCCGAGTTGTAGTTAGCCTGGCTAATTTGTAGTCTTTTGGCCATTGGAGTTTTACCTGTGGCATTAGTATAACAAGCTACAGTAAAGATGGATTATGAATATGTAGACTTCTATCAACCAATCAGTAGGTGTTTCCTCTGGCCACTGATGCATGCTGGGAAAGAGTATATATTTGTTGGAGGTTAAGCGATTCATGTCCTCCCACCTAGACCTTGGTCTGTTCTGGGTGTGTGAGGAACAGCTGTGTTGGAGTAGGCCTGAAGCCTTAGGCCTAGCCATGTGCTCGAGGATCTGTGGTGGAGCACTATCAGAAAATAGGAAAAATAAATATTATTGAGCACTGCAAGAATTTGTTCACACATTGTTTGGTGTGGGACTTTATCTAAATTTTATGTAGTGTATTTATGTAATAGAGAATGGTTTTTCTAGCATTATTGTATAGAAGTAGAATGTAAGAACCACACCTTTATTGTTTCTTAATCAGATAAGAAGAACTTCAGAAAAAGACCTAGTGGCCCACTAAGTTAGAGGAAGCCTCACCAACTTGAGGGAAATCCCCTTTAAGACAACTTGTGGGTGGGGCCAACTCACCCTACACATGGGGGACTCTTCCGTGAACACACTCTTTAATGTCCAGGATCAGATGGGTCCACGGTCATGCAAGAATCAGCATTAAGTCAATACCCTGTGTTTAGAAGTGAGCCCTTCACCTTGCACAGATACACATTAAACTGGAGGCTCTTTGCTGTGAAACACTCTTTTACCATGACACTGCACCCCTTATCTTCCGAATACAGCATTTTGAGATCATCTAGAATGTATTGATCCATGAACTTGGCCTGCAGTTGATATCCTTCTGACCTACACTTTACCTGCTACAAGGGGGTTTTGCATTCCAATAGATTTGTAAGAGAATGCAAGGTGCACAAAAGCTTTCTGACACAGCCTCTTAAACAGCATAACCTTACCAATCATCACAAAGTTATAAAGTTTTAAACAGAGTGCTCCCCTCTCTGCATGATTAAAGTGTTACTAATCCCAGGACCCTGCATTCACTATATCCGGTCTCCCACAGTACATGGACATGCAATTATTTTAGTAAATATTAAATGCTAAATACCTTTGCTCTAACTGCTGATGAGAAATCTTGTGACTTCTAACAGAGTCCAGCAAAGCACTGGCTAAAGCTTGTTGGAGGAGTTTTCTTCTCTGACTGTCCTATGAGGTTGCATGACCCCTGACCCTCTGGATAGCACTGATTGGCCCTGTGCTGATCACATGCACTCTCCCAAGAACAAAAAAAAAACTCTAGCAATACACACCAAACTGAGCATGTGCAGCTTGCCCCCAAAGCTCTGATCTATCAGCAGCTGGATGAGGGACAGTAGAAGGTTAGGATCAGAGAAGACAGGATTAAACATCCTTTTTACTCAATGTGGAGAACTAACCCCTTTGGTTCGACAGTGAGTATAACAAGCATGCTTTACTGCATATACAGACTGATTTTACTGTTCTGGGTTTAGTAACACTTTAAATGGGAAGTTTCTATCATACAGTACTGTATGTCTTATTTGTTGATGCCAGGCCAGTCACATTATAGTCAATTCAGCTTCAACCCAAATATTTTATCTTTAAAACCCATACCTCACATACCTTGTTTTCAGAAATTGATATGATTTATTTTTGACAGTTACATTTTACATAAGCCACTTATGATATGATGAACATATCTGTATCTTCTTCAAAATTTCAGACTAAAAATCCTAATTTTTTTTTTTTTTAATTCAAACAACATTTATTGTCAAAACAGTGAAAATAAAAATGGAACAGGGTTTACAGAATCTTCAGCAATATTACTGCACCAGTACAATTACACATAGACAGAACAATGTGGAGATGCAGATCCTGTAACAGGCATAATAACAGAAGCAATGACCAATCAAAACTGGGAACACAAGGATCCAAGACCATCTTGACAATACATAGCTTTTTACTTTTACCTTTTATTCCTCCCTGTCCAGATGTATAATAAAATGGGGGAAAGGGAACAAAGCCAAAAAACAAACCATCAATAAAACCCCCCCCCCCAAAACACCCCAACAATAGTAACTGGTTCACTCGAGACACCTCATCAGAGAAAACTGTGGATACACATTGTGACATGGAGTCACTTTGGGTGGGGGGCCCATGGAACCCAGCTTACTTTGGAGAGGTGGGGAGACCCCTGTCTCCGCTCCCCATATCCCTATTATGTGTAAGTCACCCTGTGCCTGTTAGGGGTACAGGGTGATCTGTCCTAATATTGTGTAGACATGTCTAGGAGATAGGTGGGGTGGGGGTTGTGGATTGTTTGGTGTTTGTGTGGCTGCATCCCATTGTTCTATTATGTGTCTGGCTTGGGAGCAAACTATTATGGGATGTATGTGTTTATGTGTATTAGCATCTCCAGCAGCCCTCCCTCCTGATGGGACTATCTGCTGGTGTGAAGTTTGAATACTCGTGTGTCTCTTGTTACTAAATGTAGATTGCCCCGCCCTCTGTCATTATGCAGGGAGGGGGGATTGTCCCTTGAGTGTATATATCTTGTATCTGTGTTGAAATAAACTGTCTACCTTCTGGCTTACTTCAAATCTGGTGTCGTCTGGATCTTGGGGTAGCAATAGCCAAATTCACTGGCCTTGTGTTCCAGAGCCTGAGAAGCAGCTTCTTCATGGAGATACCAAGTCGTGGGTGTCTGGGGTCCATTACACACATGATCTCCCCTAAAGGGAGAAGTGGAGTTTCATGCCTGATTTAGAATGTCACACCTGCAAAAGCCAATCTATTAATTGAGGCGGGGCAAGCCCCAGCGTATCTAGCCTACCCTGCCACACCTGTTGGAACTTTATGATAAGCATTGTGATGCTGCTATGTGAGCTTTTCCCGTGGGAGTAATGAATTAACATAATCTATCCATTGCCTACTAGCTGGCAGAGCCGACGATAACCAATACCGTGCAATCAATTTCCTAGCCAGATATAAAAGTCTAGACACCATGATATACCCTCCAGGTTGGAACAGTTCTTGGACCAGTGCTCCCAGCAAACATTGCAAGGGAACAGTATATTGCAATACTAGGGAAATAAACTGGAGAACCTCACTCCAATATCTATGCAACTTGGGGCAACGCCATAGCATATGAATGAAATCACCTTGCTGGGCCTTACACCTTGAGCAGTAAGGCGAATCTCTCCCGCCCCACCAGTGCAATTGCACAGGAGTCCTTTAAGCCCGATGGAGAATAAACAATTGAGACAATTTATGAAAAGGAGAAAGAGAAATCACCGGAACAGATTCTAGGGCAGCATCCCAGACATCTCCAGCGAGCTCTCCAACATCCTGGGACCACTGCACCCTACTCTGGAGACTAGCAGGATCCTGCACCGTGGACAACAACTGGAAGTAGACACGAGAAATCAAGCCCTACTTATGGGTAGCCTGAGTTACATCCTTAAAGAAGATCGAGTCTGTCAGTGTGAGATTGGAGAGAAGAATGGGCCTGTACCGCATGGCGTAGCTGAAGATAACGATAAAATTGCTTGTGTGTAAATGGAAATTCCGTTTGCAATTGTGAAAAAGGTAAAAAAAATCCTAATTTTAGATAAAAAGCGGATAACAAAAACAAAACTAATAGCTGTCAGCTTAAATTATTTACTTTAATTATTTAAATTCCAGTCATTTGATGATTAACCTTTTAGCATCTGAACTGATTGTATGATTCCTATCGGTCAACTTTGATTGTGATGTATCCAATGACTGCCCATTATGAAATGTAAATATGCACATTTTCTCACCTTAAAACACAAAAGGTCAGAACAGTTTTATGCCTTTTTTATTGTTTTCTCAGATGTGACAATAAAAACCTTCAAAATTGGTAAGCATTGGTTCACACCTACAGTGCCTTGAATAAGTACCCCTTGAAATTTTCCACATTTTGTCATGTTGCAATCAAAGGCGTAAATGTATTTTATTGGGATTTTACTTTTTCAAGGCACTCTATGCGTGAGTATTTGTGCATGCACCTTGTGTGTATATCAGCCCATTCATTTCTATGGGTTTCCCTAGCTGTGAGGAACATTGGGAAGAATTTCCCAACGCCACACTGAACTGCACGGGGCTGCTGGACCATCTGGTTTGACACACAGGTGGCGGGAAGGGTGTGTGATTGTGTGTGCGTGCGTGCGCATTCCATTAATGATTTACAGCAACCCTGTGCATATGCTAAAGAGCAGCGTGTTTCTGTATGTGACAGGAAAGCGCATGATTTTGTGCACATTTCCCGCACGCATAAATGTGAACCAAATCTGTGTTGTTAGAAGGGTGTGGTCCAAAATCACCCTGATAACAGCCTAAAGTAACAATTTAGAAACCTTTTGCAAAGTAACAGTGTTAATTCTGAATCAGGTTGTTTTATTAGTAACAAAATGTAACAGTTTAGAGCAGAATTATAACATGTACGGCCAGCCAAAAATAAAAAAATAAAACATTTTATATATTTCATGTACTTATATAGCACCGTCCATTTACATATATATTGTACATTCACATTAGTCCCTAACCCTCAAGGGGTGTACAATCTAAGGTCCATAACTCACATGCATACATACACATACTAGAGCCAATTTAGACAGGATCCAAGTAACCTTTGTCTTTGGAGTGTGGAAGGAAATGAGAGTACCTGGAGGAAACCCACACAAGCACAGGGAGAACATGCAAACTCCATGCAGGAGGTGCCATGGTCAGGAATTGAACCCATTACCCATTTACTACAAGACAGACGTGCTAACCACTAAGCCACTGTGCCGCCCCAAAGGAATGCACAAAACCAAAAGGCCCTTCTCTACGAATTTTGTCTTTACAGGGGACATCTTCTAGGGACAAAGAGCCACTGACATCACTTACATATTTATATAGTGTTCTTTGTTGATAAACACCAGCTGAAACATAACGAATTGCAAGAAACCCAAACAGGAAGGAAGTAGCACAGCCACCATCTTGCCTTGTCAACATCCATCCAGAAATGACATAACCGGAAGTTAAGTCATATCCAGTCGATGTGACCAAGGGAAGGTGTTCGGGGGGGGGGAACAAGGAGTGACTCAGAAGTAGGGAGTATCTGCACCTTTTCCCTGAGAAAAGCTCTGCGTGCTTCATAACAAACTAATGATAGGGACTTGGTCAGTACACACACTTTAGGTTCAAGTGGTACAGTTACTACATATATTGAGAATATAAACATTACAACATCACTCAATTGATGCAACTTTGGGCACCTCTATAACATATATATTGCACCTGCTGGTCCTCAATCACATAGGTCCCAGGGACTATGGTGCCAGAATATGTTGATGTTAACATTGCAGAAAAGTAGTAGTCCTTTTATTTTGTTTTACTCACTTCCCAACCTAATTAAAAATCTTGCTGGTATGTCTATAGATATGACATTTTAAAATACTTTGTATTAGAAATCCATAATGGTTCATTAACACTTGTGGTGGCTTCTGAAGAGCGCACCACAGCAGACCATGGACTGCTCTTCAGAGGGTGTTTGACAAGTGGTAAGAAGGGATTATGATACCTCCTCACTGACTGCCTTAAAACTTTGCTGGGCGCTATCTACATGGCCCCGTTCTAGTGAATGGGTAGTGTCTGGCAGGCAGTACTTCCCACTGAGCATGACAGTGGGTATACATTTTGCTGCAGTTTAGTGAACAACCCCATCCACTGTCTCTGCAGCTTAATGGAGAATCAAATACTTCAAATCTAAAATTTTTTTCCTTAGGCGAGCTTTCATATGGTCCCTTTTTTCCTTTATTTTATACTGTGTGTTTCTTTTGTTTTCTTTGTAAAACGCTTTGAGAAGCTACCTTCAACCACACTTCTGCCACCCTATGCAGATATACTGCTACAGGGCGGCAGGGGTGACCAAAATCACACACACACACACGTAGGGGGCACGCGGCCTTGGCTGTCAATCACCGGGTCCCGGCCGGTGATTACTCGCTGGCACCCGGTGATTGAGGAGCATTACCAGCATAAGTAAACAATACAGTTCTCTCCCCTGTCAGCTCCTGCACACTGCTTTGCATGGCTTTGCCATGCAAAGCAGTATGCTTACAGTGAAGCACAGACACACAGCCCAAAGTAAAACAGCACACAGTTAACCCTTTGATTGCACCAGATGTTAACCCCTTCCTGCCCAGTGTCATCAGTACAGTGTCAGCACTTTTTATTAGCACTGATCACTGTATTGGTGTCACTGGGGATGTCAATGACACTAAGTCAGTTACCCCCCAGTGTCAGAATTCCCGCTGGAGTCCCGCTATAAGTCGCTGATTGCCGCCATTACTATAGGGGCGTTTGGCAAGAGTTGGAAAAAAAGTGTGAACGAGCCCTTACTGGAGCAAGTGGTTGCTCTAATCTGGGACTCAGGAAGCCACACCTGATTGAGCTATGGACATGAAAGATTGCTTTGTAGGACAAAGGAAAAGGCTTGCATAATGTTTGTTTTGTTGGTTTCTGGGAGAAGCCCTTCACCTGAAAGATAGGCATCGGTAATGTTTAGTTAGTGCCTTGATTGCAAGGATTTATTTTCGGATTGTTTTGTTCGTTTTCTATGCAACCTTTTAAATAAAACTGGCTACAAGCTAGACTTTTAAGACAAGACCTGCCATTTTTCCCAGGGAAGGTGATCCCCACTTGAGCTAACCCCCACAATACCAACAAGACATTTAATCAGAAAGAGAACTGTCAATCTAACCTACCAGCATGTCTTTGGAGTGTGGAAGGAAGACAGATTTCGCAGAGGAAATGCACACAAGTACAGGGAGAGCATGCAAACTCCGTTTATTAATAGACCTCTTCAAACATGTAATTGGAGCAAAGATAGTAACGGCCAGTTCACACCAGAGCACATGTCCCATGCGTGTTTCGCACACCACGGGTGAACATGCTGCCCTTGCAGAGTTCTGCAGTACCATGCGGTTTGGTGCAGCCTTCTGAAAAAGTCAGTGCTTCCACTACTTTTTCTGTGATCCAATGCACTGTGAAACTGGATCATACAGGAAATGCATGGAAATCACACAGTGTTAACCAGCACAGAGTGTACTCCACAGATTTGTTTTTTTTTTTCCACACAAACTGCTGATAAAACAGGTAGCTCAATTGGAAGAAAACTCTGGTGCACATCTCAAAGGTACACTCTAAATTCTGGGCACTGTGACATAGGTTAACTACAATAGTTTCACTCACTGTTATCATTTGGGGTGCTATAAGTGTCCGTTCAAGTCGTCTGTGGTGGCTTCTGAAGAGCGCAACACAGCAGACCACGGACTGCTCTTCAGAGGGTGTTTGACAAGTGGTAAGAAGGGCTTATGATACCTCCTCACTGACTGCCTTAAACCCTTAAAACTTTGCTGGGCGCTATCTACATGGCCCCGTTCTAGTGAATGGGTAGTGTCTGGCAGGCAGTACTTCCCACTGAGCATGACAGTGGGTATACGTTTTGCTGCGGTTTAGTGAACAACCCCATCCACTGTCTCTGCAGCTTAAGGGAGAATCAAATACTTCAAATCAAATCTAAAAATTTTTTCCTTAGGCGAGCTTTCATATGGTCCCTTTTTTCCTTTATTTTATACTGTGTGTTTCTTTTGTTTTCTTTGTAAAACGCTTTGAGAAGCTACCTTCAGCCACATTTCTTCCACCCTATGCAGATATACTGCTACAGGGCGGCAGGGGTGACCAAAATCACGTGTATATATATATATATATATATATACACGTGATTTTGCATTTTCGGGTAGGGGGCACGCGGCCTTGGCTGTCAATCACCGGGTCCCGGCCGGTGATTACTCTCTGGCACCCAGTGATTGAGGAGCATTACCAACGGAGGGAGAGAACTGTATGTAAACAATACAGTTCTCTCCCCTGTCAGCTCCTGCACACTGCTTTGCATGGCTTTGCCATGCAAAGCAGTGTGCTTACAGTGAAGCACAGACGCACAGCCCGAAGTAAAACAGCACACAGTTAACCTTTTGATTGCACCAGATGTTAACCCCTTCTTGCCCAGTGTCATCAGTACAGTGTCAGCGCTTTTTATTAGCACTGATCACTGTATTGGTGTCACTGGGGATGTCAATGACACCAAGTCAGTTACCCCCCAGTGTCAGAATTCCCGCTGGAGTCCCGCTATAAGTCGCTGATTGCCGCCATTACTAGTAAAAAAAACTGCAGTATATATACCGCCATTTGTAAATGCTATAACTTTCACATAAACCAATTAAGTTACATGTATTGGGATTTTTTTTTAGCAAAAACAGGTCGCAGAATGCATTTTGGCCTAATTTTATGATGAAATTTTAGTTTTTAAAAATTTTTTAGTGGACATGTTTAATAGCAAAAAGTAAAAAATATTGTTTTTTTTTCTCAAAATTGCTGGTCTTTTTTTTTTTTACAGCACAAAAAAATGCACAGGTGATCAAATACCACCAAAAGCAAACTCTATTTGTGGGAAAAAAAAGGACGTAAATTTCATTTGGGTGCAGCGTTGCATGACCACGTAATGGTCAGTTACACACAAAATGACCTGGTCAGGAAGGGGGGTAAATCCTCTGGCAGGCAAGTGGTCAAAGGCGCTATATAAAATAAAGTTTATTATGATGGAGAGCAGTAGGGGGGCAGTAAAACACAGTTCAGCCGCATGTTTTAGCTTGTCAAACGCTATAGGGGCATTTGGCAAGAGTTGGAAAAAAAAGTAAAGTGTGAACGAGCCCTTACTGGAGCAAGTGGTTGCTCTAATCTGGGACTCAGGAAGCCACACCTGATTGAGATATGGACATGAAAGATTGCTTTGTAGGACAAAGGAAAAGGCTTGCATAATGTTTGTTTTGTTGGTGTCTGGGAGAAGCCCTTCACCTGAAAGATAGGCATCTGTAATGTTTAGTTAGTGCCTTGATTGCAAGGATTTATTTTCTGTTTTGTTTTGTTCATTTTCTGTGCAACCTTTTAAATAAAACTGGCTACAAGCTAGACTTTTAAGACAAGACCTGCCATTTTTCCCAGGGAAGGTGATCCCCACTTGAGCTAACCCCACAATACCAACAAGACATTTAATCAGAAAGAGAACTGTCAATCTAACCTACCAGCATGTCTTTGGAGTGTGGAAGGAAGACAGATTTCGCAGAGGAAATGCACACAAGTACAGGGAGAGCATGCAAACTCCGTTTATTAATAGACCTCTTCAAACATGTAATTGGAGCAAAGATAGTAACGGCCAGTTCACACCAGAGCACATGTCCCATGCGTGTTTCGCACACCACGGGTGAACATGCTGCCCTTGCAGAGTTCTGCAGTACCATGCGGTTTGGTGCAGCCTTCTGAAAAAGTCAGTGCTTCCACTACTTTTTCTGTGATCCAATGGTCCACTACTTTTTCTGTGATCCAATGGTCCACTACTTTTTCTGTGATCCAATGGTCCACTACTTTTTCTGTGATCCAATGGTCCACTACTTTTTCTGTGATCCAATGGTCCACTACTTTTTCTGTGATCCAATGGACTGTGAAACTGGACCATACAGGAAATGCATGGAAATCACACAGTGTTAACCAGCACAGAGTGTACTCCACAGATTTGGTTTTTTTTTCACACAAACTGCTGATAAAACAGGTAGCTCAATTGGAAGAAAACTCTGGTGCACATCTCAAAGGTACACTCTAAATTCTGGGCACTACGACATAGGTTAACTACAATAGTTTCACTCACTGTTATCATTTGGGGTGCTATAAGTGTCCGTTCAAGTCGTCTGGTGTTGGGGGAGTATATTTAGAAGAAATCTGGTTGTCCACAGAAAACTGCAGCCCATAGAGCTATTCACCCACCTATTCCTATGGTCAGCTTTCCCATGGACCTCACAGCCTTAACACAAACATGGTCACAGATATCTCAGCGGCATTCCACTTTTCCCAAGCCTTGTAAGAGTCCTTACCAGCATCTAAGGTACCAGCCTTTAATAACCTTTGCACACACCTATTTTATAACATCACTAAATCTGATGGGGGGGGGGAGGGGTTATCCACACAATGTTGAATGCTAGGAAGCTGGTTTCAGAGAACATTTATTATAGAACTTGAAGGCATATATTTCTTGGTGTGAGGGTCGAAAATTGACACCCCCGGAAATATTTGATTGGGAGAATTTTGTCTTTTCTCAAATCAGGAGTAGAAAAGAAGTTGGCTGTTGGTATTGTTAAGGATCAGGTGTCAGCCTGTTTTCTTCCAAAGACGGATTGCTTCTCACTTTTTTTCAGGGAGTGATGCATACTGTTCCTCCTGTCAGACAGCCCCTGTGTCCTTGGGACTTGAACTTGGTCTTGGCAGTTTTACAGAAACCACCATTTGAACCAAGCAGGGAGATTCCGTTAGTTCTGCTAACTCGAAAGGTTCTGTTTTTGGTGGCAACCACCTCTGCAAGAAGGGCATCGGAGTTGACAGCTCTTTCTTATAGGGAACTATTTTTGATTTTACATCAAGATAAGTACTGCCTCATCCATCCTTTTTTGCCAAAGGTGGTCTCTAGTTTTTTCATTTCAATCAGGACATTGTTCTGCCTTCATTCTTTTTTGGGCCTCAGTCGGCAAAAGAAAGATCTTTACATGCCCTGGATGTGGTTCGGTCAATAAAGGTCTTTTTGAGAATGATGGCACAGATTAGTAAGGCTGATTCCTTGTTTATTTTGCTGGAAAGATCAATGAGAGGACAGGTGGCATCCAAATCAACTATTTCTAAGTGGATTTGTCAGTTAATCATTCAAGCCTATGGTTTGAAGAGCAAGGTTCCACTCTTTGGGGTGAAAGCACACTCTATCAGGAGTATGGCGGCATCTTGGGCTATCCACCACTAGGTGTCAGTTGCTCAGGTTTGCAAGGCTTCTACATGGTCTTTGGTTCATACATTCACATGGTTTGACCAGGTGGATGTCACAGCCATGGAGGATTCTGCCTTTGGCCGCAGTATTTTATGAACACGATGGTGGTTATTGTGATGTCATCCACCCCTCAAGGTTATTGCTTTGGGACGTCTCACAGTCATTATTATGGCCTGGTCTGTGTCCCGTGATGTATGATAAAGAAAATTGATTTTTTTTTTCTACATACTTACCAGTAAAATCAATTTCTTGGAGTACATCAGGGGACACAGAGGTCCCTCCCCTTCTGGATTTGCAATGCTTGCTACAAAAGCTGAGTATTTCCTGTGTAGGAAGGGTTATATGGGGGAGGACTTCCTATTTGGTTGGCCAGTGTCCATTCACCTATAGGTGGCTGGCATATAACCCACATAGTCATGAATAGCCTGCTCTGTATCCTGTGATGTACGCCAAGAAATGGATTTTACAGGTAAGTATGTAGAAAACAAAACCAGTTTTTAGTAATAAAAATAAACTGCCTATGATTCACATTACACAGAGAAAACTAGATGGTATGCAGTTAGTGATCATATTTACATGAAATTCAATTTGTGTATTTGAACAATAAAATATTGCAAAAGGTGTATACACGCAAAACCTTTTCATTTAGAAAGAATTACTTTTAACTGGTAGGATGTATGCTCTCTCCATGATTCAGTACAACTCGTCTTTTCCTTATTTGTATTCGAAGACGTACTCAGGATAGACCTGTAATTTATCGAACACCACAAAGATGGATGGATCACGGATATTATCCACACAGGAGTCATACCTCTGGCTGCTGTTTGGTTTCTGAGGTGGGCGTTTCATTGTGGAATTCCCATTAACATAGTCACCCACCAATACACGAGCCACAATCATCATTTTTAAGTTGGAGGAGGTTTTCGAGGAGTATATGTCAGCGAAGGATGCATCTCTGGCAAAATAACTTCCTATTAGAAGAAAATTAACTTTAACTAGAAAGCTCTGAATTGCAAACTGACATTTCTGCAAAATGATCAAAACCACCGGACAAACAAATTAAAGCCAACTAATTTTAAACAGTTACAGAAACAGTATTTTTTCTGCTGGGAAAAAAGATTTAACCCATATGAATAAAACTGACCATTGTAAACACACCTGGCTGTGTTACAGGCAGTCTCTGCTGTACAATGTCAGCATACTGCAGAGGCACTGATCAAATAAAATGTAACCCTCTCAGAGTCTAACCATTCTCCAAGAAATACAGCCCTGAATAAGGAGGCAATTCCTCTGAAACGCGTCGGCTCTACTTGTTTACTTTTATCTTCAATAAACTATAAAATTAATAAAGTGAAACTTTTTTTAGACATCGGGCACTCCTCTCCAATCACCCAAGTGTTCCCTGCGGTAACGCCTCCACTGTTGTTATCAGCAAGGTAGCAGCCCTAGACCCCAATGGATCCTATTGCCCAACATCTACAACTAGGATATAACCAGTTGGAAGAAATTCCCTCTATACCCTCCACACAGTAAATTGCCGCTAGGCAGCCTCCAGTGGCACCAGTCCAGCGCTGTATTCCACCCAAACCTGATACTTCAAGCCCTGTAAACTGTCATTTTTGCTTTACCGCTTGGCCTGTTACAGGAGCTTTAAAATAATGGCTCTACTTGCAGGATCAACAGGTAATAAAACTATGGCACAGGGTTGGATGAGGTGGAGAGGTAGGATGATGACGTCACAATCTCTACCTTGTTCAATCAGAGAATGCCTTGTATTCTTTGAAAAAGTAAAATGCATTCTGTGATTGGTGGCAGTGCTGAGTGTGCAACCCCCTGTGGTTCTTATGCAGAAGGACAGCACATCAGCACAGGACCCGGAAGATTGCTGTTGAGATATGCAAACTTATATGGTTCAAGGTGGATCAATATCTTTGCAATAAAGATCATACATCACGTTCAGCTTTAAAGGAGTTCTATGGTCACAGTGTTGGTGGTGTCCTAAACCAGAAACATTGTTGGAAGCTAGCATAATCCAAAATAGGCTGGACAGCATAAGTAGTCTTCAAGGGATCCCAGATCCCTAACAAATGTAATCCGTTACATCAGCACCAGGGGCTTGATACCTGCTGTTGATCCAGGACTGATTCATTCTGATAAATGTCAGCCGGTGAACAGAGCCTTGTTTTTTTTTGTTTTTTTTTCTTTAAATTAAAAGGACTTAAAGGATTTTTTCAAAAGTCTGGCATCTTTATTTTTTCTAAATTTAACCCTT